CCCTTCCAACCTAAATGATTCTATAAATGAAGAATCTTATATGCATAAATTTCTTAAGTGGACAGAATCAAAACTATACACTTAAATCGGGTCTAAAGTCATTTATACCAGTTATAACAGTGGAGAGAAAACTCTGTTTTTCCTTAAGCAACTCCACTTTCAGGTGGGAGCATTCCCAAAACTGCCTTTGGGATTCTGCAGCACAAGTTTTAACACACCATGGCTGTCTCAGTCCTCAGCTAATTAATCTTTTTAAAAAAAAAAAACTGTGGTACAAAACTTCCTTAAAAATCTCTTTAAAATCTCTTGTCTCTGAGGAATACTGGGAGGGATTAGAAGGTATACAAAGTTTACGGAATAAATTACAAACAATCCAATTCTTTCAACCATCTTTGGATGTAAGTATCTGTTCAAAAAGAGAATGTGAGCAACCCAAGGAGAAGTCTCCTAACTCCATGAATATGACTAAGATTTCATCTCATAATTCAGAGCTAGAAGCAGACAGTTGGTCATGAAGTCAAAGGAAAAAAAATGAAGTGAGATAATTTCTATGCTTCTTCCTAATTTTAGACACAAAATAGCTAATTCAACAAGAGATACCATGTGAAGCAGTCCAAGAATGTGCAATTAATTCAGCCTCCTTTAGGAAGGCTGATGAAATAATGACATTTATGTGCCTACAATGTGACAGCATCTGAATACTATACATATCCATTTTTAAGGATATCAGGAATCCGGAAGTAAAAATAGCAATATATGTTAGTTATTTTTATACTGTGTCTAGTACTTACTGATCTGACATTGCAATAAAGTACAATTTGAGAATATCTGCAATGGAAAGTAATCTTTTAAATAATATAAAAGATAGAAGTTTAATTGTAATTGATTTTCTACTTAAAGCTGATGCTTATTAAATCATGCTGCAGGCATAAGAACCACAGAAGATTCATACAAGGTTTTGGTTTATTGGCAGTTGAGTCATCTTCAACACTTGTTAGCTTGCTACTGATGCCATAAGATACCTGTATTAAGGTAGATATTTTATTAAGAATGAATGCTACAAGATATAACTGGTGAAATTTACTATTATGATAATGTCAAGATTTGTTTTAGGGAGGTATTTTTCTTATAGAGGCACATACAGATTGCCTATATGGCCTAATGAACAAGTATTTCCATTTTCTCCTCTTAAAACATTAGGCAAGAAATCTAAGTGAATCATTAGTTCTCTTCTTCAGTCACACTTTGATAGGTCTGAAAATTCAAAATTCATTTTGAATTGTTTGTCCCTGTAGTATAGAAAAATGGAACATGCAAGTGATTTACTCCATGTCTTGAAAGCTACTTTTGCTAAGGCACTGTACATACAGTACTGACTAACACAAAACCCTTCCAATCGTCAGATGCTTTGAAGTGTAACAGTTATTTTGGGAAGACTGGCAAAGTCTCTCAGTGGAACTACATTTGTGCCTTTCAAATCAGCACATGATCATTAATTATAATTTCTACTGTCAATGAGAATGTAGTCTTGCTCCTGTCTTGAACTTTTTTTTTAACTACTTTCATAAACAGTAAGAATTTCCACGTTGAACATTCCATGAGAAGATGGCAGATGCAGCCTACCTGTGAGATCAGTTCCTTCTGGAAAGATGAGAAGCTGTAGTGGTTCACGAATATCACAGAAATAATCCAGCATGTTTTCAAAGTGACTCTTGTCATCTTCCCACTTTCTCTGAATGAAAACAAAGGCAGCAACCTGCATCGCCCAGCCTAAAGTTTAAAAAAAAATCCACCTTTAGTAACAATTCACTCTGATACTTCCACAGTGTGTTATTCCAAAATATGTCTAACACAATTTGTGAAAATGTTTTATTTGCTGCCCACTTGTCCTCATTTCTGATTAAGAGCACCTACCTTGTAGAAGGAGCTTTTGATAGGAAGCAAAACAATCTAAAAAATTTGGAATGGCTATGATTTTGCAGAACTCAAGTTAAGTTACCAGAGTTAGAAAAGCTTTCAAAAAGGAAGAATAGGGTCAAGGTGGCCATGAATGGAGGTGGTAGCGAGGTGGGTGTCAGTCTTTTTTCCCCAAGTAACAAGTGATAGGACAAGAAGGAATGGACTCAAGTTGTGCCAGGAGAGGTTCAGGATGGACATTAAGAAAAATTTCTTCACCAAAAGAGTTATCAAGCACTGGAACAGGCTGCCCAGGGAAGTGGGGGAATCACCATCCCCGGATGGATTTAAAAGATGTGTAGATGTGGCACTTGGGGATGTGGTTTAGTGGAGGACTTGGCAGTGTTACGTTTATAGCTGGACTCAGTCTTAAAGGTCTTTTCCAACCTAAACACTTCAATGATCCTACAAGGTGAAGTATTTAAAACAATGGTGCTCACTATAATTTCCTTAATCAGTGCCACACTGATTTGCCCCAGGGAAGGCACTGCCCCTACAGACATCTTAGCAATGCCCTGCAGGATAGAAGAAAGCTGCATGACATAGAGATAGCTACTTTTACCAGTGCATATTAACCATGTGCATTGTGCAGAAAATATCTACTGCTTTGAGTGCTTTACTACATATACCTTCTTAAAATTTTCATTACCAATAGAATATAATACCAAGTTGTTCTTTACACTTGATTTTATTTTTTAAAAAAAAAGATGTGTATTAATACAAATGGATATACAACTGCGAAGATTTACAGCCTGACATTAAACTGACAGTGTAATACAGTAAAACAAATGAAACTGCTGCTGAGTCTGCAGCTCGGGATCACACACCATTATCTTCAATAAACGTTCTCAGCTTTTTTTGGCACGATTTAGTGTACGGCATATCACATAATATTAGAAGTTCTGTCCACCAGTTCAGAGAGTAGGATGAAAAATCAAGGCCACAATTCCACCAAATGTCTGTGATACTCCCCCCTTAAACAGGGCTCAGAGGACCATGACATTGCCTTACTGCTGTACTTGGCCAGCTTATATCTCATCAGAAAACCTGCAGATAGATATTCCATACCAAAGAGAAAACATCACAGCTTCCCATTCTCCTCTTTGCTTACCACTGTTCTCAAAGTCTGTTTTCCTCTGCCGGTGATTTTGAGTGTGTTATTCTTGCACTTTATTTCAACTCCTCTTTACAGAGTTCCTTTCCATCCTGTTCCTGGCAATATCTTACAAGAAGCATTTGCTAGAAAATTGCTTATTAAAGTCACCAATTTTTAAATCAACTTAGTAAGTCAGCCAGCCTGAATAATGCATTAACCAAACTGTAGAGTCACTTCTGAGTTGGTGAGGAATGTCAATTGTATTGTTCAAAATTTATAACTTGTATCACGTGGTAGCTACTTTTTATTTTTAAATCAACTAAACAGATGGAGCATGCATAACTAACATGCCTTCTGCAGTCTAGACCTAATGAGTCTCAGATATTCAGATAATGAATGATATTCAGATAACTGAATAATGGAAGTGGTTTTACAAATTAAGGAAAGAAATGCCCAGAATGTCGTCTCAGCAGATCTTTTTGAATTTGCATGCTGTACTTGTTAAAAACACCCTGTAAGCAAAACTAAAATTTGACCACAGCATTTTATGTGCATCTATGCACATATCACATTACATCTGCAGAGTCAAGAAGTATCAGTACAGCTTTATTAATAGAAGCCACCACGTTTAAACAAATCATTTGCAGGACTTAAAAAGTTAATTTTAAAGTAACTGAAAAATAGCTTAAATAATCTAATTATGCTTTCTTCTGGCATTTATAATCATTTCCTGCCGCTACAATACACTTCACAACAACGGTGAAAACCCATTATTTTAAATTGAACTAGTCGGGGCTTCACATTTTCACCCTTATTGCTTTCCAAAGAAGACATCATTTAATACCAAATGTTGCCAAATCAGTTCCTCTGGAAATGGTACAAAGGTGTGTCAGGGAATGTTTGGGCTGGACATTATGAAAAGGTTCTTCACTGAGAGGGTGGCCAGTCACTGTAACAAGGTCTCCAGCAAAGTGGTCATGGCAACAAGCCTGTCAGAGTTCAAGGAGCATCTAGATGACGTGCTTAGTCATACGGTTTAGCTTTAGGTAGTCCTGAGAGGAGCAGGGAGTTAGTCTCAATGATCTGTGTAAGTCCCTTCCAACTTCAGATATTCTATGATTCTGTAACACCTCATCTGAAATCAAATTCATAAAAATGGGCACAGCAAAAGAAAAAGACCCTCTGAGTAGAAACAGAGGGTTTCCGCTTTGCACCAGATGTTCCACGGAACAGAGAAAAAATACACAGAAATTAGGAAAGTTGTGCCATATTTTTTGCATTTTCCAGTTGTTCTCATCTCTCAGCCCAGACCTTTTCTATGTTTTATGTACCCTAGGCACTACACCTAAACTAGTTTATACAAACCTGTGCTGTGCTAAACCATTTTATTGTGTGGTATCACACATCAGGCCTAAATTATTCAGTCCTTGTGTTCTCATTGCAGCAGAATCCACAGGTGGAAAGAAGAGAAAAACGAGAAGCAAAATAAATGGTCACTTGGGAAGCCTTCTGATACTTTCCCAGGTCAGCAGCTCCTTAGGAAGAATGATTCTGGTTCATAATGGAGGGAACATGGAAAAAAACTCACTGCCAGATCCCCCCCTCTCCCTTGCCTTTCTTCACGCAGCAGAAGGCTTTAAATTATATGGAAACGTGCATATGAAGTTTTCCTAGCGACCATTCTTCAACGGAACTGTGAACATCAAATTACAAAAAGCTTTAGCTACTAAGAAAGCTGCTGCTTGGGTAATTCATATTTTACCAGTCTAAACTGCCTTAAAGCAGAGGATACACTGTAGTAGTTTCCCACTCCTGTCCTAAATGGTGGTGTTGTATACAGGCTATGAAATATTAAAGAGGCAGTAATGTAATGACAGCAGGGTGTTGGGGAGGAGGAATAGAGAGAGAAGGGAGCTGGGAGGCATCCAGTTTTTAAAATAAACAACAGGTTTGATTCTCTGACCTTTCCAATAGACAACACCTAGTCTTGTGGAAGAACTTTTCTATCTTTAAGTGTGTATCTAATTAGACAAATCAGTCCTGACTGCTCAAATAGGAACAGACTATCTAACAGTCAGATGACTAATAGTAAAAGACCCAGGTTTTACTCCTCGCTTACACCAGTACAGCACACTGTGCCAACTATTTTATCAATGTGGAAGGATCTTCCACTTTTGCTCAAGCTTTAAGGCTTCTAGGGAAAGGCAACAAACCCATGAGTTACTGCCTTCGACCGAAATCCTGGTCCATGCACCGATGGGGAGAATGCCTGCTGTTTACTTGTCTCACCATCCCACAAGATTCAAGCAGGAAAGGAAACCCAGCCCAGGCTTGCAGACACATGCCTTTGAACAAAGCAAAAGCTTTAATTTCCATTTCACAGCGTGTCTGCATTGTGCTGCTGGAGAAACAAGGCTTATGAAGTCTAAGGCACGATACAGGATCCAAATGGAAATGCACAGAGAAACTGGAGGAATTCAGTAAAGCAATGGGCAAAATGAAAGGTTTTGCCAATTAGCAAGGTTTATGAACAAGCAGCTGAAGGAAGTACTTTCTCATGTGCAGCCTGCAGTGAGGCACACTGTTCAGTTAATTATTGTTAACTTTAGGTCAACACATTGTTCAGCAAAGTAATTATATTTGGCTTTTTTTGCACAGCTTTTTTGGTTGTCTACAAGCTCCCCATCAACAGGAGCTTTCCTAGCAAAGGCAGCATTTACTTGATTGGGGGAAAATGGTCACCTTTCGATTTGCAGATTCTTTAGAAATCACTGATTACAAAAAAACATGGCAGAGGAACAGTGAAGCTAAAGAAATCATAACAATGTTAACTCTGTTTCTTTGCTAAACTAGGCTTCTTGCAGGAGCTGAGATTTCAGACAGCTAACATTTCTTGGAAAAGTATATAAAAAGCATCACACTGAACAGCTCTTGTTCAAAATTGCAAAATAGCAGCACAAAAACCCTACCAGGTAGAGTAGCTAGCCACACTGACCTTTAAATCAGCTTTTCAGAGCTGAAAAAAAATAACATAAGCAGCTTCAAATCTCAAGTAACACATACATGCTAATGATATGTATTCTTATCAGGAAGTAATTCTACACAGAAAAAAATTACACTTATACAAAAAAGAAAGCCTGCTATTGAATCAAAGAAATGTGCTGTAGATAAGAATTTCCTTACTGCCTTGGTGATAAAACAAATTATAGCTTATACAGGTTGAGAATGCAGCATCGCATTAAAATGCTATCTGCACGTACAAAGCCTTTTAAATTCTAAGACCCTAAACTTCTCTTTTCCCCATCCCAAAATCCTTTAAAAGAAAATAACACTTGAAGCTGAAAGTGTGTTTTCATTGCAGCATTAATTTGGGAGTAAGTATGTACCAGGGATAGAGGTGGCAATGAACAAAAGAGGGAAAGAGAACAAAATGGGGAAAGAGGCGAGTTGTACAAAAAAAAAAAAAAGTCTGTTTAGGTTTTTTATCACAATTTTATACACATTTCCAAAATTATCTTACAGAAATTAGATACCCACCAAAACGTTATGTTGCTGAAAGAGGAATACCATGGCTGATATGGAAAGCAAACATTCACACATCAAGAAAACCTAACTATGTGTTTCCTACAGCAATGTTAACAGAACAGCTCGTACTGTCCCCTTCCCCCTCACAAACAAATTCAATAAATGATTCAAAACTACAGAAACAAGTAAGAAA